TTTTGATAAAGACTTCCGCTCTAATTACCCAGCAAATAGCAGTACATTTTACCGAACTCAAAAGCTTTCTACCCTAATCCTTGTACGCTCAACTAATAAAGCTAAATGAAGAAGATAAAAAAGAAATCTCTCCCCTGACACTTCAATGAAAAAAATTACCCCCAAGTCCGGCTGACAGACAGCCGACATGTAACGACCTTTTCAAGAGCCCCTTCCCCGGGGAGTTGCAGGTAGTGGGAAGAAAAAAAAGCACCCTGACAAATGAGGCTTTAATTCCCCAGCCTCCAATCCAACAACTTCCGAAGGATTCGACTTTTATGCCTTCTTACTTTTTTTTTCTGGGCCCTCTACTTCTCAGTGATTGGTGTGCGTAATGGCCCCGGTTCCTTGTGTTCATTTTCAGAGTAGAGGGAGTCGGTGTTGATGGCTGTGGGAAGATTCTTCCTTTGGTAGCACTGAGATGGATCCTGAGGTGTCTCGGGAACTTGCAGCTGTTTATTCATCAAATGACGGTGGCCGGGGAGTGAAAGAGTTGGCGAGATTTCTTTTTACTTAATAAAATGATACAATGTTAATACTGAAGCAAAATGAAGATTTCGCTTCAATATTAACGAGCAAAGCAAGCAATATTAAGCAAGACGAGATTTCTTTCAAGGTAATGGGGAAACAGATTGAAATGAGGTTGTTCTACAGTGTTTTTTTATATTTTTGTTGGCTTTATTGAATTTCTATAGTACCTTTCATATTTCCCGTATACTAAAAAAAATGCCATTCATATAGAGAAATACTTTGAAATTTGTAGTTTTATTTTCTCAGGCAAGATAGTAGAGAATATTTAGAAGGCTTAGATTTGTTATTGAAGATTTCGATTTTTTTTTTAAAGTATCGTCTTGCAATGATTATTACGATAGAATTAATAATATATTTTTTTGTAACCCTGTAAGCTATGGGGTACCATACTTTTTGTTTATGAAGCTATTATTTCTTTTTCATTTTTTTTTTATTTCAAATACTAGTGGTACTTCATATAGTATGTTCTAATCATCGTTCAATGGTTAAAATATTATAATCTATTAGATCTGAAGTTTTATTCATTTCTTTCTTTTTCAAATTTACTCTTCTTACTTATATTCTTTTAGTTGCTAGTATGAGCAACGATTCTTTTGTTTTAAAATGGAATTTATAAGCCGTCATAGGCAATGGTTTCTAGAATTTCGAGTTTTAGAGTAGGCACCTTTATGAAGGTTTAATTTTTTCTTTTGTCAAATTCTGTTGTCTGTAGTATTTTAATCAACATTAGGATAAATTGAGATAAAGCAGCGTTAGGGAGCATACGTCTCAAAGTACTAATTCAAATCAAGTCAAGACAGTTTTTTCATTTAAGAATTTGCATGGATAACATTCTCGATGTCCAAAATGTCCTCTATTGATTAAATATGGGCGTACTAATTTTTTTATTTACGAATTTCCTAAATTTAATGCCCTCAACAGTCATCCATTAAAAAAATTATCACCAGAAAATCAATCTCAGTGTTAATCTACAACCTACAGAAATCAATCTCAGTGTTAATCTACAACCTACAGAAATCAATCTCAGTGTTAATCTACAACCTACAGAAATCAATCTCAGTGTTAATCTACAACCTACAGAAATCAATCTCAGTGTTAATCTACAACCTACAGAAATCAATCTCAGTGTTAATCTACAACCTACAGAAATCAATCTCAGTGTTAATCTACAACCTACAGAAATCAATCTCAGTGTTAATCTACAACCTACAGAAATCAATCTCAGTGTTAATCTACAACCTACAGAAATCAATCTCAGTGTTAATCTACAACCTACAGAAATCAATCTCAGTGTTAATCTACAACCTACAGAAATCAATCTCAGTGTTAATCTACAACCTACAGAAATCAATCTCAGTGTTAATCTACAACCTACAGAAATCAATCTCAGTGTTAATCTACAACCTACAGAAATCAATCTCAGTGTTAATCTACAACCTACAGAAATCAATCTCAGTGTTAATCTACAACCTACAGAAATCAATCTCAGTGTCGCTCTTCAATTCTGCTCTAAATTGTTATTGCGATAATTTACTTCAGACGATAGTTAGTTTCTGCCGTCATATTTATTATGATAAGTTATATAGTTAATATATCCAGTTATGAAAATTATAATTAGCTGTATAATAAATAAATATTGTAAATATATTTATAAATAAATATATATCAAGCATATATATTCTTTTAGCAAAAGTATAGCTTTGAATGTTATACAATTTTAATCAAGAATAAACTTATAGTCTCTAGTCTCTTTTAAAATCCTAAAATCCCGTATTTTAGAATCGTATTGAATATATTTATTTTTGGTTGAAACCAGAGTATTTTAAAACGAATCTGATTTATATAGAAATATAATAACTGGTTTGAAATTTCTAATATATTTGTGCTTTAAATAATCCCACTTTATCTATTGTTATTTATATCTCGAGTGCTTATTTTTTCTCGAGTAAATATACTATCTAACACAAAGCCACCTTCTTAAAGCATTTTAAATTCTTGTTCGCTTTAAATTATATTTATTATGTTTTTAGTTTATTTGCAAATATATATATATATATACATATATATATATAAATAAATATAGTATCAAACATATCTTTCCTTTTTCCAAAAGTATTGCTTCTTTGAATATTAAACAATGAAACTTATAGTGTACTCTAGTCTTTTCTGAAATCACAAGATCCCGTATTTTAGAATTTTATTGAATATATATAAATATTTTAATCAGAACCAGAATGTTTTAAAACGAATCTGATTTGTAGAGATTGCCAATTGTTTCATTAATAAAATCTTTCAATCTTCCTTTGAAAATTTGAATTAAAAGTAGTTTTCTTCTTCAATGGCACAACAGCCCCGTGATGGGCCAAAGCCTACAGGCAAATTCTGAAGCATGAAATGCTTTCTTTTTACGGAGTAGGGTTGGGAGCTCTACGCTCTACCGTCATATTAGATTGGGAACTACAGTTTAAAGTGGATTCCGAACCACTACAGGCATCCATGGCACCGTAGACAACTGGGACTCGAACTCGAAACCTGTAGTAACGAGAACTAGTAACTTGGCCATCAGTTTGGCTTGATTTGTCGCTCTACGATCATTTTATGCACATGAGGGATAATAAGACCGAGACCTACAGTTTAACGTGGATTCCGAACTACTCGAGAACATCCATGACACCGCCAGGATTCGAACCTGAAGCACCCATATCCAAAGCGCTAGCGAATTGGCCATCAGGCCAGGCCGTCTTAGCCATCAGATCCCAAAGGTATATTTATTCTACTTTACTTTTTAAAAGGTCCATAAAGCAAGATATCAACAAACATTTAATTTTTATTTATAGTACATTTTATAAATAGTTCAATTTTTTTTTTAAAGATGGTTAAATCTTAAATAAAGTTTCCGAAAGGGATTTTTTATTTACTAATTCATATGTTTTCCCCTTTAATTAATCATATAAATCAGCAGAAAACCAATGTAAAAAAATATTATTTAGAATATTGATTATTATACTAAAAATACCTTATTGAACAATTGAATCCAAATTCTTAAAATATATACTTCTGTATATATTTGAGAAAGAAAAAAGATAAATTTTCTGTTATGTATTTGTGAATGCATGTTTTAATTGGAATTCATATGCGAAATAAATTAACTTATGATAGATATTTTAACTTATGATAGATATTTTAACTTATGATAGATATTTTAACTTATGATAGATATTTTAACTTGAAATAGATATTTTAACTTATGATAGATATTTTAACTTGAAATAGATATTTTAACTTATGATAGATATTATAACTTGAAATAGATATTTTAACTTATGATAGATATTATAACTTGAAATAGATATTTTAACTTATGATAGATATTATAACTTGAAATAGATATTTTAACTTATGATAGATATTATAACTTGAAATAGATATTTTAACTTATGATAGATATTATAACTTGAAATAGATATTTTAACTTATGATAGATATTATAACTTGAAATAGATATTTTAACTTATGATAGATATTATAACTTGAAATAGATATTTTAACTTATGATAGATATTATAACTTGAAATAGATATTTTAACTTATGATAGATATTATAACTTGAAATAGATATTTTAACTTATGATAGATATTATAACTTGAAATAGATATTTTAACTTATGATAGATATTATAACTTGAAATAGATATTTTATCTTAAAAATAATATTTCCTGCTTTTCATGGATGTTATAAATCCATCAAAAATGCATTCCCTTTCCAAACAAATTTCTACATGTGACGTTTCAGTGTGATTATTTTCACTTAGGATTATAATGTTTATCCAGAAATATTTTCTCGTTATACAATACATATGTCTTAAATCATGCAATGCATTTTTAAGTATTGTGTAAATAAAAATTCTCAATGCTACATCAGAGAATAGTATCGTTACTAAAATTAGATTATGCTAACTTTCTTCTGTCAGTAGGAGCATAATTTTTAAAAACTGAACTTTTCGTACCTTTTTAATTACTTTCTATTTGATTTAAATAAATTTTATCACGCGCTGTTTGTGTCTTTTAAACTTCCTAGACTTATCTATAATAAATAATTGTGATTATTTTAAAAATAAAAAAGAACTAGTTTTAAAGAATGTTTTTGTTGTTGTTGTTGTTGTTTCTTATCCCACTTGGCTGGCCAAGCCCACGAGCCCATACGTGCTCATGATTGAAGGGGAAGGAAGCAGCTTCTGTTGTGATGGAGCACCCGTAGGTAGAAGCCTGACTTTTGCTCCGTGACGCTCTTACAGTCATAGGAGACCGCGACCTACGGCTTAAAGTGGATTCCGAACCACTACAAACATCCATGGCACCGCCGGGATTCGAACACGAAACCTGTGGCACCGAGCGCTAGACACTCGGCCATTCAGGTCCCAAATTTTCCAACGGCACGCAGTGTTCCCAGGTGGTCACCCACCCAAGTACTGACCGCGCCCAATGATGCTTGACTTCGGTGATCTAACGAGAACCGGTATATTCAGCATGGTACGGCGGTTGGCTGGAATGTTTTTAAATAATAAATAGAAGAATATTACATACCAATTTTAAAAGATTCCAATTAATTTAAAAAAGGACATATAATATTGCTTTTAGACGAACTTGTGACACAGTAATAGTCCGCTTTAGTATTTAAGAGGGCGAATCTGTCTATCTTAAAAATACGAACATGCAGGAAAGTTATCTCCGATTGTAACTGTATATGCTACAGCAATAACTTTCATTGTCCACTCATCAGTCTGTGATGTGTTTCAGGAGCCATGGGGAAATCCTTGATATGATGTTGACTGCACTTGAATCGGAATCAGACTAATCATGTAAGAAGGGTACTCAATTAATTAAGTGGGTAAGATTAGTAGGGAAATTAAGAATGCGCGGTCTGGTAGCCAATTGGACAGCACTCTGATCTTTTGTTCTTCCGGTTCGAATCCTGACGGTGGCATGAATATTTGTCAGCTTTATTTGGAGTTAGCCTAAAAAATGCAAAAAACCGGTGAGCGACCAACCAAACCAAATTAATAAAGATTGCACCTTTTGGTTTTATTATAATTTAGAACTACCATAGTGGCTTTTCTATGACATATCGAGGGTGCTCACCCTTCTGACGAAATATCCAACCTACGGATTTATCGTTTCCATCTCAGTCTGTTAGGACCTGATGCTATTCATCACTACAAAGGCAATGATGTAACATATTCGATGTAAATCCCAATACCTGATACACTTCACTCCAAATTTCGCTATCATAATTTTAACCGTAACCATCCCTTTCTTTAGAAATGTGTTTAAACCTTATATCTTTTCTTTTCGAGGCCATAGAAAGAATATATCCAATGTACGGATTTATCATGATATATTATGCATAAATTAGACAGGAACCAACCGTTTAACGTGGATTCCGAACTACCAACAAACAATCATGCCACCGCCAGGATTCAAACCTGAAGTCTGTAATAACCAAAGGCCACAGTGATAGCCAATTGACCATCAGACAGCGAGAAAAGAATCTTGAACAGATTTGCCATCAGAAAGAAAACAGTGGCCTGATGGCGAAGTGGTTAGTACTGTGGCCTTTGGTTACCATAGGCTTCAGGTTCGAATCCTGTGGTATCAAAGACTAGAGCTCTAGCCACCTGGCCATTAGGGCACTTGCTTATCGGATATCAGACCAAACTCGATTAGTTCAAAAATTCAAAATTTTATTCAGAAAATCACTCCAAGCCCAGGTCTCTGATATTTAAAAAATAATATACTAATAATAATGAATTTAGATTTGCAATGAATATTAATATAGACATACATTTCTGAAAACTTTATCTAACATCAAATTTTACTCTAAAATATTAAATATTTTATTAACCGAACATAAATTTCTAGAAATGAGGATAAAACAAGGAAACAGAAAAACCCCTTGAGTCGTTGAGATTAATAAAAGTTGCATGCGCCAGTCAGGGAGATTCCTTTCCATTGACTCTTCCAGACATCTCGCGTTACAAAAATCGCTCCCTTTCGCTTTTTCAGGACGTACACCCAAATGCAAATGGCGACATTTTTTTTTCTGCATTCATCCCATCGTTCATCCTTCGTTACTGGTATTAAAATCGAAGGGCGAACTTTGCAAACAAAACGCCGGCGAGGAGGAAAAAAAAGCTAGGAGAATGAATAAATAAATGAAAAGAAATCTAAACAGAAAGACAGGCCGTCGCAAAATGGAGCGCATTCGTATGCCGTCTTCTATGTGTTGGTGCTGAAATGGAAATGAAAGAGCGATTGTCTGAGAGTGGGGAAGATATTTCTTCCTAGTTTGCATGGATGGGGTGCGACATCTACAAGAAGTTGTTCTCTTCTTTTTGAAGGCGATTACTTTTTTAAATAACATATGAACGCCTGGAAAATGAAAGTCACGTTGAGTGCATATTATGCGCAAACTGGAATCGAGAGAAAAAAAAATTAGTTTCTGTTTATTGTCGCTTTTTTAAAGCTAAGTGTTCTTTAAAAAAATGGATAACTGGACGTTTAGCATAAGTTATATTTGTAGGCAAAATGTGTCATATTAGAAATAACAAAATTCATATTATATAGATAGCATATTCGATGATAGCATATATAGAAAGCATATTCGTTGTGGATCCCAAGATCTCATGCACTGCACCCTCAAATTTTGCTGTCACGTTTTCAACTTTACTCTTCCCTTTCTGTAGAGATGTGTTTAAACCTTCCACCCTTTTTGTTCGAGCCTAGCTAAAAGATATATCCATTCTACAGATTTATCATTATATATTAGGCATACACTTGCTTATAGGTTTGTTGTTCTACGGCCACTTTTTGCACACTGCATTCCGAACCACTCAGAAACATCCATGTCACTGCCAGGATTTTAACCTGAAGCCTGTGATAACCAACGGCCACTGTGTTAGTCAACTGGCCATCAGGCTGCACGGAAAGAATATTGAATAGATTTGTAGTCAGAAAGAAGACAGTGGCCTGATGGCCAAGTAGATAGCACTGTGGTCTTTGGTTACCTCAAACTTCAGATTCGAATCGGATATCGAACCAAACTCCCTGATCTAAAAAATCCAAATTCTATTCAGAAAATCCCTTCAAGCCCAGGTCTTTGATAATTATATATATACATAATATAATTAATGCCTTTAGAATTACAATAAATATTAATATTGGCATGCATCTGCGAAAATGTAATCCTCCATCAAATTTTACTCTAAATTATTAAATATTTCGTCAACAAAGTAAAAATTTCATGAAATATGTAAATGCTAAATGAAATTTCAGCCGACAGAAAAGCTCAGTTTTTATTCAGAACCACTTGAGTCGTTGACATTAATAAAAGTTGCATGCGCCAGTCAGAGAGATTCTTTTACCATTGACTCTTCCAGACATCTCACGTTACAGGAATCGCTCCCTCTCTTTTTTAGGGCGTACGCCCAAATGCAAATGGCGGAATTTTTTCCTGCATTCCCGTCGTTCATCCTTCGTTACTGGTATTAAAATCGAAGGGCGAACTTTGCCAACAAGACTCCAGCGAGGAGAAAAAAAACCCGAGGAGAATGAATAAATAAATGAAAAAAAATCTAAACAGAAAGACAGTCGCAAAATTGAGCACATTCGTATGTCGTCTTCTATGTGTTGGTGCTGAAATGGAAATGAAAGAGCGATTGTCTGAGAGTGAAGAAGGTATTTCTTCCTAGTTTGCATGAATGGGGTGCGACATCTACAAGGAGTTTCTCTCTTTTTGAAGGCGATTTCTTTTTTAAATAACATGTGAACGCCTGGAAAATGAAAGTCACGTTGAATACATATTATGCGCAAACTAGAATCAAGAGAAAAAAAATTTAGTTTTTATTTGTCGTTGCTTTTTTAAAGCTAAGTGTTAATTAAAAAAATGGATAACTGGACGTTTAGCATAAGTTATATTTGTAGGCAAAATGTGTCATATTAGAAATAACAAAATTCATATTACACTGAAGTGACAAAGTCATGGGATAGCAATATGCAAATTTTCAGATGGCAGTAGCATCGCGTAGAACAGATATAAATGCGCAGTGCTTTCGCAGAGCTTTCATTTCTGTTCAAGTTATTCATGTGAAGAGATTTTGACGTGATGATGACCGCACGACGGGAATTAACAGACTTTGAACGCGGAATGTTAGTTGGAGCTAGACGCATGGGTCATGCCATTTCGGAAATCGTTAGGGAATTCTACATTCCCAGATCCACTGTGTCAAGAGTGTGCCGAGAGTATGAAATTTCAGGCATAACATCCCACCATGGACAGCGCAGTGGTTGACCGCCTGCACTTAACGACCGAGACCGGCGACGTCTGCAAAGAGTCGTAAATTCTAACAGACAAGCAACACTGCGTCAAATAACCGCAGAAATCAATGGGACGTACAAGGGACTTGTCTGTTAGAACTGTGCGGAGAAATTTGGCTTTCTTGGGCTATTCCAGCAGAAGACCGACTCAAGTGCCTTTACTGACAGAACGACATCGCTTGCAGCGACTCTCGTGGGCACGTGAGCATATCGGTTGGTCCCTAGATGAATGGAAAACCGTGGCCTGGTCCGATGAGTCACGATTTCAGTTGGTAAGAGCTGATGGTAGGGTTCGAGTGTGGCGCAGACCCCACGAAGCCATGGACCCAAACTGTCAGCAAGGCACTGTTCAAGCTGGTGGTGGCTCCGTAATGGTGTGGGCTGTTTTTTCATGGCATGGACTTGGTTCTCTGGTGCGACTGGACCGAACATTGACTGGAAATGCTTATGTTCAGCTACTTGGAGATCACTTGCAGCCATTCATGAACTTCATGTACCCAAACAACGATGGGATTTTTATGGATGACAATGCGCCATGTCACCGGGCCACAACTGTTCGCGAATGGTCTGAAGAACATTCTGGACAATTCCAACGAATGATCTGGTCACCTAGATCGCCCGACATAAATCCCATCAAGCATTTATGGGACATCAACGAGAGGTCTGTTCGTGCCCAAAATCTTGCACCATCAACGCTTTCACAATTATGGACGTCTATCGAGACAGCATGGCTCAATATTCCTGCAGAAGACTTCCAACGACTTGTTGAGTCCATGCCACGTCGAGTTGCTGCACTTCGCCGGGCGAAAGGAGGGCCGACACGATATTAAGAGGTATCCCATGACTTTTGTCACTTCAGTGTATATAGATAGCATATTCGATGATAGCATATATAGAAAGCATATTCGTTGTGGATCCCAAGACCTCATGCACTGCACCCCAAATTTTGCGGTCACGATTTCAACTTTACTCTTCCCTTTCTGTAGAGATGTGTTTAAACCTTCCACCCTTTTTGTTCGAACCTAGCTAAAAAATATATCCATTCTACATATTTATCATTATATATTAGGCATACACTTGCTTATAGGTTTGTTGTTCTACGGCCACTTTCTGCACACTGCATTCCGAACCACTCAGAAACATCCATGTCACTGCCAGGAGTTT